CAACAACAACAACAACAACAACAACAACAACAACAACAACAACAACAACAACAGTAACACTCCAGTACAAACATAACATACTTCACAAGAAGCCACGTAAGTGAACTCCGTATCTCCCAACGTGGCCACCACAAACACAAACTGTTACAGCACTTGAGCGACAATAATGTGAGGCATCGGGGTGAAATCAGCCGCTCGTCAAAATGATCAAATCAAACAAATTGGTATTTTTCTGGATGTTTTGCAATTTTTTTTCTTTAATTTTCTTTTCTTTTTTTTCTCAACATCTTTTACATCCATTTAAGAACACATTTCTGGGTGGATTTTTACTGAGAAACATTGATTAAAGGCACAGAAAAAGTAAATTTTCATTTTCCAAGGACTCTAAAGCTATGGAAATGACCAAACTTTGCGACCATATCTTCCACTAATTTTACCTCTGAAATCAGGCGATCTTGACCTCCTTCCATCTGAAATATCTCGACTTCTAGTCAAAATATTATGGATTTTTTTTCACCAAAGGAAAAGCAAATGAACAGGCTTTAAGAAGATACAAGAGAGGGTGAACACTGAACAGTATTGCTCTAAACTCTCAGATGATACCAATAACCCAGTATTTCCAAAAGATGGCCAGCGCCTGATTTCGCCGCGTTGTGACAATAATTACCACCTACACAAAGATGAACTCTGACCGAGTTGCCACAGGAGTGTGAACAAACGATAAACACAGACGACAGCAGACGACAGCAGACGACAGCAGACGACAGCAGGCTACAGCAAAGGACAGCAGACGACAGCTCGTTAGACAAGGTATTGAATCACACCAGGGTCATGGCGCCCCCAGGGCTGCCTTGGACAGACAGGGACTTTACATGAGTGTCTCGACGCGGTGGAATCAGGCTCTCGTCCATTTTCGACAAGTCGAGTCATTTTAAAGCTTGCTCATTTGTCTTGCTTCCGGTGAAAAAAAATACTCATCTATCATGAATAGAAGTCGAGAAATTTGCGATTGAAGGAGGTCAGGGTCGCCTGTTTACAGAGATAAAATTAACGAGAAAATGGCTGCCAAATTTTGGCGACTCGCATAACTTGAGAGTCCTTAGAAACTGCAAATCTACATGTTTGTGCCGTGCATCAACATTTTCAGTAAAATCAACTCAAAAATATGTTTTTAAAAGGACAATAAAAGTGTTGAGTAAACAAAAACCCCGAAAATTCGATGAAAATTGCCAAACGGACAGAAAAATGAATGCCAGTTTCTTCGATTTCATTATTTTGACGAGCGCCTGATTTCACCACGATGTCTCACACAAATCATTGTTTTATCAAGAGCCAAAAGTTGCCGGCGGCGGGTCAAAGTGTGAGTTGAAACATGTGGGTTTGACAAGGTAATCATTGTGAAGTGGTTGTTGTCTTAAATGTTTCTTGGTAACCCGTGGTGCAATCTACGAGTTTGTTGGTGGGTTGTGGTTTTTTTTGGTGGTTTTTTTTTAAGTTTAAACATTTTCTAAATTAATTATTTATCTTTGTTTTGTTAGGGCGTATTGGCATAGATCTATGTTAGATAATTATTTCGTTTTTAATCTTATGAATGACCCACAAACTTCTACTGTCTCTAATAACAGTAC